GTTTAATGTATCATTCGGATATCTGTGATGTATATTTTGAAATTTAAGTTGTATTATGAACGCACGACGTGCGGGTGGCAAGCTGATAGGTACCTTGTGATGTGACCATGAAAACTGTCACAGTTGGCATCAGAGCCATATGCTGACAGGTTGGGTAATGGATGGATATTGTTAAGCATGAACGTTTCCGCACTATATGTATTCGTACTAATTTGATTTTGGTATCTAGTATCGCTTTAAGGTTGAACGTTTATTGCTTGAGTCCTAGCGAGAGCTAGGCAGGCGTTCCGCGGATACCCTTTGGTGCGCCTTAGGGAGAAGTGGGGGCGTCACAGTATGGGAGTTGATTGAAGGGATGGCTGAAAATTCATAGCAGTTCAGTTCAAGAGAGGATGTCTCGACCCGTAAGGTGAATGAGGTAGAAACATCCTCCATCTAACAACAAATATCTGAATTGACATCCTTCGTGCAACAGTTAGCTGTGGAAAGTGCCTCACAAGCCAAGGTGTGTGGGGTATGTGCTGCCTTGGGTCATTCTACTGAGATATGCCCATTAATTCAGGAAGAAAGTGCAGAGCAAGTGAACATGGCCGGCCACGCACCTTCGCCAAGAAAGCAGTATGACCCTTACTCAAGCACCTACAATTCTGGTTGGAGAGATCATCCCAACCTCAACTATGGAGTGAATAGGCAGTCCAACTTCATACCAAATAGGCAGCAAGGGTACCAGCAGTAGTACCAGCCTCGCCCACCACCACCATCTTCGAACTCGAGTCCGTCCATATAAGAGATGATGAAACAATTACTTGCGAATCAACAAAAGATGAATTTAGACCTGCAAAGCATGAGGAATCAATTGGGACAAGTACAATCGTTGCAAACTCAAGTGAATCAAATGGCCATCGCGATCAACCGTTTGGAATCCCATGTTCAAGGGAAGTTGCCATCTCAAACTGAGTTGAGCCCGAAAAATGTGAGTGCAATGACCTTGAGAAGTAGCAAGGAGGTCTAAGGACCCGACCCGGTGATACCTAAGGACAAGGATGAAGAACGAATTGAAAAAGAGTTGGAAGAGGAGGGCAGAGATACCAAAGATTTCCAAGGTAACTTCGGACCCAATAATTACAATTAGGACTAATTCACCTCCCTTTCCTAGCAGGTTAGAAAAACCAAAAAAATAGGACAAGGAGAAAGAGGACCTGGAGATCTTTCGCAAGGTGGAAATCAACATTCCCCTACTGGATGCGATCAAGAAAGTACCTCAAAATGCAAGGTTATTGAGAGACTTGTGTGTCAACCGAAAGTGGTTGAAAGGAGATGAGCGAGTGGTAGTAGGGAAAAATGTATCAGCAATCTTACAAAGGAAACTCTCACCGAAATGCGGAGATCCAGGTATGTTCACCATTCCCTGTAGGATAGGTAATACCTTGATTGGGAAGGCTATGTTAAACCTAGGAGATTCGATTAATATGATGCCCAATGATAAGGCAACCCTAGGGGAAGACCCTCTTAGACCCTCCCTACCTTGTAATTATCAGAGTTGGACATTTTCTCCCAATGGAAATTGAACTCGATTGTTCTCATGAACTCAAGACCTCTGACACACAAAGGCAATCAGCAACCTTTTGCAAATAAAGATGGATGAAGAGACACCACGATTAGGGAACAAACTAATCGATAAAGTCAGATTTGAATCCTAAGCAATGAACTCAAGAATTCAAGAGTAAGTTCGATTAAGAACTTGAAAGGAAAATTTCTCACGATTTCTGGTTGTAATATTTTGTCTTTTCATGCATACAATAGGTGCCTTTTATAGGCTAAAACTAGGGCAAATCCGGCCCACATAAACCTGGAATACGAATTTGGTCTGCATAAAGAGCCAACTCTTTAAGGCTTCCCGATAAGGCCCAATAAGTAATAAAATACTCAACGACTAACAACTACTAAACTAGGCAATCTTAAAACAACTACCAACTAAGCTAACAAGTATGAGATCATTCTTTCACTTCAAACATACAAGTGAACAAGTTAACGTCATGGTCTATCAAATCTTCAAACTTAGCTTGCTCCTTGCTTGTATGGTGAATGATCAAGGCTCGTAAAGCTTCTTTCACCTTCTTGGATCTTGATCTTGTCATCAGACCGCCAATGTGGACCAAAAGATCCTTGACCCAAGGTTGAAGTTATTTATTGCACACCCGTATCCGCATCACCCAAGTTTATATATGTTTCTTTGAATTTAGGTCCTTTAAAAGAGACTGGGATAATAATTCAATTGGCTGAACGAACCAATGCATACCTTGACGGGTTGATTGAAGATGTTTTAGTGAAAATTAATGAATTAGTTTTTTCAACCGATTTTTATGTGCTTGATATGAATGATGAACACTCTCATGACCTATCACCATTATTATTAAGCAGACCCTTCTTGAGCACAGCTCGAACCAAAATTGATGTAAATAATGGTACTTTGTCTATGAAATTTGATGACGAGATTGTTCATTTTAACATTTTTGAAACTATGAAATATCTTTCAGAATTGCATGCTGGCTCTGTTTTCTCTATAAATGTTATTGACCCTGCTGTACAAGAAGTTTTTGAAATTGAAGGCAGGGATGAGTTAGAAGTTGCCTTGACCAATCACTTCGAGTCAAAGATGACGTCTGGAGTAGAGTTGAGTGAAGAACTCAGATGTGTGATTGGAGCGTTGCAAACGTTACCAATCACAAAAATAAGGTATGATCTCGCACCCATTTTTACACCTGAATCATCTGTGGAGCAGGCGCCTATCTTAGAATTGAAACCTTTGCCGAAATACCTCAAGTATGCATACTTGGGTGAGGGGGAGACACTCCCGGTGATCATCTCCGCGAGTCTATCAAAAGTCCAAGAAGACAATTGATTCGAATTTTGAGGGACCATAAGCAGGCGATAGGATGGACCATTGGCGATATCAAGGGAATTAACCCCACGGTATGTATGCATCAGATTCGACTCGAGAAGGGTGCTAAGCCTGTGAGGTAGGCTCAGAGGAGACTAAATCCCCTCATGATGGAGGTACTAAAGAAAGAGATCCTGAAACTATTAGATGTGGGGATAATCTTTGCAATATCAGATAGCCCCTGGGTGAGTCCAGTACAGGTGGTCCCAAAGAATGCAGGGGTGACGGTGGAGTCAAACCAAGAGAGTGAGCTCGTACCAGTTCGAAAGCCCACCGGGTGGCGGCAGTGTATAGACTATAGGAAGCTAAACGCCATCATGAAAAAGGATCATTTTCCCCTTTCTTTCATTGATCAGATGGTAGAGCGATTAGCAGACCGAGTTTATTATTATTTTTTGGATGGATTTTCAGGTTATTTCTAGATTGCTATCGCACCCGATAACCAGGAGAAGATAACATTCACGTGCCTGTTTGGAACATTTGCATACCGAAGAATGCCATTTGAGCTCTGCAATGCACTTGCTACCTTCCAATAATGCATGGTAAGTATCTTTTTAGAGTATATTGAGAAGATTATTGAGGTCTTTATGGATAATTTCAGTGTGTATGGAGAAAGTTTTGATAACTGTCTGGATAACCTCAAATTAATTGGATAAGGTGTATAGAAGCTAATCTCATGTTTAATTGGGAAAAATGCCACTTTATGGTTGAGCACGGAATAGTTTTGGGTCATGTAGTGTCGTCTAGGGGTATTGAGATTGATAAAGCAAAACTAGATGTTATATCTACTTTACCTTACCTCGCGAGTGTGCGGGAAATGCGTTCTTTCTTGGGTCACGCAGGTTTCTACAGAAGATTTATCAAAGATTTCTCGAAAATTGGAGCATCCCTGTTCCAACTTTTGCAGAAAGAGGTGCTCTTCGAGTTCGATGAAGCATGTAAGAGGGCGATTCATAGGTTAAAGGAGTTATTGACCTCCTCACCTATTATCCAACCTCCTGATTGGAACCTACTATTTGAGATCATGTGTGGTGCCAGCGATTATGCCGTGGGCGCGGTGCTAGATCAAAGAGTAGGAAGGGCAGCCCATGCTATATACTACGCATCTCGAGCCTTGAACGGAGCTCAATTAAACTATTCCACCATTGAAAAGGATCTCTTGGCGGTAGTTTTTGTTTTAGAGAAATTCAGGTCTTATTTGCTATGTGCTAAAGTTATTATTTTCTCTGATCATGCAGCATTGTGATATCTGTTGACCAAGAAAGAGGCAAAACCACGACTTATAAGGTGGATACTGTTGCTACAAGAGTTTGACCTGGAGATCAGATACAAGAAAGAGGCGAAAAATTTAGTAGCTGATCACTTGAGTCGAGTACAAGTCACCGAAGACGACCTCCCGTTGAGAGAAACTTTCCCCGATGAGCATTTATTTTCTGTTAATTTATCCTTGCCTTGGTATGCGGTTATTGTTAATTTTCTAGTCACGGACAAGTTTCCTACAGGATGGCCTAAGGCAAAGAGAGACAAGTTAAGGAGTGATGCAAAGTCTTACATCTGGGATGACCCTTACCTCTGGAAGTGTGGTGCCGACCAAATCATTCGTAAATGTGTAAGTGAAAATGAATTCCAATCTATCTTAGTTTATTGTCACTCTTTTGCGTGTGGAGGTCACTTTGGACCAACGAGGATGGCTTGTAAGGTTCTAGAGAGTGGATTCTATTGGCCGACCCTCTTCAAAGATGCCTACTCATTTTGTAAGTCATGTGATAAGTGTCAATGAGTAGGTAATATTTCTCGTAGGGATCAAATGACCCAAATCCCAATGATTTTTGTTGAGATTTTTGACGTTTGGGGTATTGATTTTATGGGGCCTTTTCCTTCGTCTTATGATTTTCTATATATATTGCTTGCCGTAAACTATGTTTCGAAATAGGTGGAAGCAAAACTCACCCGTACTAATGATTCCAACGTGGTTGCAGAATTTGTCAAATCTAACATTTTTGTTCACTTTGAGATGCCGTGAGTGATTGTAAGTGATCGGGATACTCATTTCTGCAACATGACGATTGCTGCACTTTTCATGAGGTATGTCGTCTTACATAAGGTATCTACATCCTATCATCCTCAAACAAATGGTCAGGCGGAAGTATCGAACCGAGAGATCAAGTCGATTTTAGAGAAGATGGTTCGGGCCAATAGAAAGGATTGGAGTATAAGACTTGATGATACCCTATGGGCATATAGAACGGCGTACAAGACGCCAATCGGCATGTCCCCTTATCATTTGGTATTTGGGAAGCCATGTCACCTCCCCGTCGAGTTCGAGTATAGAGCATTTTGGACTGTCAAACAATACAATATGGATATCGAGGAGGGCGGAATTCAAAGAAAGTTGCAATTACAAGAATTGGAGGAGATTCGCAATGAAGCGTACTAGAATGCCGTGATTTATAAGGAGAAGAATAAAATATTTCATGACTAGCAGATCTCTAGGAAGACGTTCAAATGTGAGCAAAAAGTTCTACTGTACCACTCGAAATTGAGGATATTTCTGGGTAAGTTACGTTCTCGTTGGATCGGTCCCTACGTTGTAACTAATGTCTTTTATTATGGTGCAGTGGTGATCCAGAGTTCAAGGACGGAAAAGAAATTTGTGGTGAATGGTCATCGTCTCAAGCAGCATTATGAAGGGGTTCCAGTTGAACGAGTGGAGATGATGCATTTAGAGGACCCGATTTGCTTAGTTTAAGCAAGTTTTGGGCTATGTCTAGCCAAAGGCGCTTTTTTAGAAGGCAACCCAAATGTTGGTTTTATTATTTTTAGTTGTCCATTTCTTTTGTTTTGTCGTTTCCCCATTGGGTAGTATCAGTATTAATATTTTCCTCCTGTACGACCAAGAAGTGCAATCTTGGCGTGCCCACGCCATATTCATGTCTCTTGAGGTCAGTGGACGTTTATGGATCTTGGCGCGCCCACGCGGTGTTAGTGTCTCCTGAGGTCAGTGGATATTTACCAATCATGGCGTACCTCAGGAGACACTAACACCGCGCGGGGCACACCAAGATTGGTAAACGTCCACTGACCTCAGGAGACACAATCATGGCGTGCCCAATGGACGTTTATCAATCTTGGCGTGCCCCGCGCGGTGTTTGGCGACCCAAAAATTGAAAAAAATATTTATTTATTTATTATTATTATTAAAAGGAAAAGGAAAAAAGATTATTTTCTTTATAAACCTTTAAATAAAAAAAACACTGTAAAAATTTTTTTGAAATTTGGACAATTTAGGTTTGAATAATTTTTTAAAAAATATAAATGAAGAAAAAACCAAAAAAAAAGGGAAAAACAAAAGACAAAAAAAATCTATTTTATTTTTCCTTTTCTCTTTTCTTTTTTTCTTCTTTCTTTCTTTCTTTTCTTTCTTTCTTTCTTCCATTCTTTTCTTTCTTCCTTCTTCCCCGCTGCTTTCCCTTTTTCCCCTTTTGCTTTCTTCTTCGCCCGACATCCCTAGCGCGCCACCTGAAGTTCACCGCTGCCTCCGCCCCCAAGCTCCACTTCGCCGCATCACCACGCGACCAGCACCAACTCTCCTCCAGCTTCATCCTCGGCCAGAGCCTCCACTAGCTCGCGGCCAAGCAACATGCCGCCAGCGGGCGACCTCACGCAACACTAGCGGCGAACGCCGCCGGCCCAACTGGCGCGACACCAAACCAGCGCGCCGTCGACGAAGCCCAAGCTGACAGACCGCGCCGCTCGTTTCTCTCCACAGCTACCCACCAGCGCCACCTCAGCTCATCCACCACCAGATCGAGCGACCTCCACCAGCGTGCTTCTCTACCTCAACTCGACATCCAGCGCTTTTGACCGCCGCCGCAGCTCCTCTTGTGCTGCACGCTGCCTCCTTCCTCTGCACAGCTCGACTAGCCCACGCACGACCGCCACCAACACCACCAGCTCCACTGCGCAGGCGAGCCCCCTCTCGCGTTTCCCTCTTCAGCGCACCTTCGCCACCTGTCAAAAATTGATAGGTGGAGGTATTGTTTGCCCTTCCTCTGCAATTTCTAGACACTAATTGCTGGATTTGGTTCGCAATTGGGGTAATTTGCTTGATTTGTCATCTGATGATTTAATTGGGGTTTCTCTTGCAATTTTAGGGTTGATTTTTAGGGCGTTTTTGACAGTTGACTTCATTGGGCATTTTTTGCTATTCATTTTGGACAGAATTGAGTTTAATTGTTGCTATATGTGGGGGTGTGTTCTGATATTTATTGAATTGATTTTGCGTTTGACTCCATTGGGACCACCATTGCTTATTGCCTGTAATTGATGCTTTGTTGAGACGTTTGTCTCGACCTTGGGTGCCTAAAGTGTACATTTTGTTGATAGGGTTAGCTATTGGATTTAATTTTTCCCTGTGCTTACACCGGTGGTACTGGTGAGGGTAGTTTATATAATATGTCACTCCTGTGTTATTGGTTGCCTCATTGACTACTGGGCATCTTTATTGAGTTATTTCCATCCCACTTCTGTACTGCTGTTGCTGGAGTGCCATTTCCTTGAGTCATTTGCTAATTTTAGTATGTGGAATTGGGTACTTAACTGTCCAATTGGAGACAGTTTGCATTTGTCTGTTGACATAGGTTGTCTCTATTTGCCTTGTTTGGGTGGTAGTGTGGCTAATTGCTGAAATTTGGTGATCGTTTTAAACACTAGCACTACTCATAACTTTTGTACTCTTTGGACTTGCTTTCTGGCATTGCTACTTTCTACTATTGTGTTGGTTGGGTTCCCTAAAGGTCTTTCATATCATATATTGTGCGCATTCTAATTCTGGTTGATTAAGTGATCTCTTAGTACCCATGGTACGACCCCGATCCTCCTCTAGGTCTAGGACTCCTAGACCTCACAGCCACCTTTACCCCAGCACTCCATACCCGCCTCTGACCCATCGCACGACTCTTCTTCTTCTGGGATGAGGACTCGCCTTGGAAGGCAAAGAGCCGTCCATATCTTTGACCCTGCACATTTTGGAGGTAATTTGGATTTCACCAGGGCAGCCGACAAGCGGCGATATGCTGCTTGTTGTGAAGGCAGATTATTCCCTGTCACTATCGGGATGCCGCCACCTTGGACCTTCTAAATATTCGAATTGATTTTGACCGGTTGATTGAGGCCATTGGGTGGCTTCCCTATTCTCGTATTACTAACCATCCAACCTTTGTTGAATTAGTTAGGGAGTTCTATGCCACATTTGAGTTCGACCTCCCTATTGGTTACACAATTTCTACCCCTAATGTCATCCGCTTTCGTTTAATGGGTCAGGAGTTCCACCATTTCATTACTGACTTCAATCTGGCCCTTGGTTTTATTGATCCAGCCTATGCCGAGTCTCGTGAGTATGCCGAGAGTGCATGTGACTACGTCTAACCCTTTTTCTCCCGCTATCGACATATTTGGGAGAAGATGTCCGTAGACAGGGATAATTATGACCCTCGTCTATCTAAGGGTTCTTATCTAAAGGACCCGGCATCTCACTATATCCACCGTTTCTTGGCCTATAGTTTCTCGGGTAGGCGAGATAGTTCCGGCATTCTGTCTAAATCCGAATTTTTCTTTATATGGTGCATACATAACAATATTAAGGTTAATCTTGGGTGCTGGCTCGCTTCTCAGTTCAAGTCTATTTTGCCTAAAAAGAATCGCCCCTTGATTCTTGGGTCATACATTACTCACTTGGCTATTAATTTGCATGTACTTGATATTTTCAACCATGATTTGCATACAGCCTATTACATGGAGCCTTTGGACATTCCGTGTTTAGAGAAAATGGGTTTGGTTCAGGAGGGTGACGATGGATGGGAGGTTGTTCCCCCGGGACCGCTACGTGCTCCCCCTCGGTCATCTTTTGCCCGAGCCTCTACTGCTGGAGATGATCCCAGCCCGTTTACCTCCGCTCCGCCCCCTCCCACCCCAATGGCCGACGACTGGTCCAACTCCGAAACACAGTTGAGAAACTGGAGACTAGCGTGACCCACATTGGCATCAACTTGTATAGCATGGCGTAGAATCTGGCAGCATTTATGCAACATGCCGGATTGCTCCTCAGTTCGCACCTGATCCACCCCTGTTTTGACGACTTTAGAGAAGTACCGTTGCCCTTTTCCTTCCTTTTTGCTATTACATTATCACATTGAGGACAATGTGTGACTTAGGTGTGGGGGGTCGGTTTAGGTGCTAGTATTTCCTGTTTTCGATTTCTAGGTTTTTTCCCTTTGTTTTTAGTTTAGATGTTTTTCCTGTTTGACCTAGGGGGGGCTTGGATTCGACAATTTTCTGCCTGGCTTGCTGTTAACTTGGTGAATATTTTGGCAGCTCACTCTTCTATTGCTAGTTGTAGTTTACTCTATGAATTTAGTTTCGGCGGCAAGTAAGAGCATGTTGTCTTGGTGAATATTTTGAGTTTAATGACTTGGTGCAATTTATGGTTAACTTGTTTAGGCAATGTAAATATTTTGCTGGCACTGTTGTGTGGATTAGTCCCCTGTTGACCTTGGTTCTCCATATTTAGGAGATAGCGTGGGCTATGATCTTTAATTACCTGGTATTTTGGTATTTTATTGTGAATAACATATGGCTATACTCCGCTAGTATCGTCACCTAGTAACCAGGAGTTTTCACCACAAGTGTCGACTCTCGTGTCAAAAAATGGCGATATCTATGAGTAAGTAGTCCTGGAACTGTGAAAAGTTGAGTAACTGGACTCTTTCATCTAAAAATGTCAGAGTTCACGTCAAAAGACTTGAATGGCTTAGGACTAAGCATTTATTCGTTCAATCAAAAAAAAAAGTCCAGATGTGGGAAATATGTAAGTCTATGATCATGTTGGCCCGCCGATCCTTGGTTCTCAATGTTGACATTTTGTTTGCCAGTTGACTTAATTGCTGACTGTTGCTAGTTAATATTTGAATTTTCTAGGTGAGTTAGCCATGAATTGGACGAGTCTATGAACTTAGGAGCTAACCGGGAGAGATATGACTTGATACTTAGCCACTAAATCTTGATTTTGGTGTAAGCACAGATGGCAATAGATAACGTGAGAGCTAGCCATTGTTGAGTTGAGTTGTCCCCATGCATGAGAACAAGCATGATTCAGGTGTGGGGGGAATTGATAGTGTATTATTTGTTAGCAATTTTATTATTAATTTCCCCTTTTGTCCCTATCAAATATTGTGTTAATTGTCGACATCTACTTATATTTGGTATCTGGAATTAATTTCAGGGATTGGAGTGAAAAACTACAAACAGGAGGGACTTTTTGAAGCAAATTACTTTACAAGTTGGAGTCTTCTGCAAAGCTCCCTCAACGTGGTCCACAAGAGAGAAAACAAACGGATTGAGCTGATGAAGAGAGGGCTATGAGAGCCTTAGGAGCCGAGGAAACAAAAAGGAAATTGAGCCGCATCTTTTGTATTCCTTTTTTGGCTTTCAATTTCGGTAGGGACCACGGGGTAGAAAGCATTGAGTCATTGGCTTTTGGCTTTTAAGGGGGAGTCGTACAGAGGCCAGGGACATCTCTTTTGGGACGGCTCTAGTTTTTAGCTTTTAGCATAATTTTTAGTTTTCTTTCTTCTTACTGGCCTTTAACGCATTCCAGGTGTTCGACAATATTTTCTAACGGGAAGAATATC